AAAATTGAAAGTGATAAGAATTTTTATGCCTTATAGTCTGTGCTCGGCTCTTTCCTGGATTCATGTGTGTGAGTTTGTGGACTTAAGATTTACTCTGGTTTTTCCAAATATTGCAATGTTTCACAGATAAGGAACCTTCAGAGAGAAGAACTAGGGCCTTCCATCTCCATGACAACCATTGTGGAGATCATTTGACCTCCTGTTCCCTATGGGACCTTTGTGTTCATGTGTAATTAGACTCTGGATCCTGGTTGAGGGTAAGGGATGGCTATAACAAGTGGGCAGGGATGGAGCTTCCAGGGAAATGCTTGTCCAGAACTAGTGAAACATAGGATATGGGTCAAGTCAGTAGCTGGGTATGTGTGGTTGTAAGTGGTATCTAATAACTCTATTAATGCTTAATATGACCCGGCTAACACTACCTCCCCCCAGTAATTGAGACTGAGTCCTATTGATTTTTAAAAATCAGGTTAGCACCATTACTGGGTGATTATTTCTATTCTATTTTTCTACCTGGTAGACTGGCACTCCCCAAGGTACTTGTTGTTTGAGTCTTGACCAGGCTACCTTTGTTCCATCAGCTTATCCTAAGGATGCACTTCTCCTGGCCACATGCTCAGGGTCCATCTCTGCAGGGTGGCTTCCTCCTCTCTCAGTCTTCCTTCTTCCCCACCCACTCTGAAACTCCCAGCTTAGTAACTGAAGCCCCACCTACTTCTGTTCTCCCTAGTAATTGACTGTAGCCACATGCATTTAACCATGCAGAGAAGACTGGCAAGCAAAGTTTATACAACATCATTTGTTATATGTGAGAATGTCCTCATGGGACTGTAAATAGATCTTGGGGCTCAAAATTTAGCATTTGTATACACAGCACCTGACCAACCCCCAACGGGTATGGTAATTCCAAAGCTAAACAAACAAAAAAAATCATAGTAGCTAGAAGGATGCCATTTGTAGAAATTGCATGAGCATATGATAGGAATGGGATGTGAAGCTTGAACAGATTTCCACTTTCACCATCTAAGTTCATGTGCACCCAGCCTATGCTGTCCAAAGGCATGGGTTTTAGATTTCCTTCTGTGTTCAGTTTGACCTGAATGTCCAGGCTTTCTGATTGTGTTAAGTGCCTTTGTTTGTTTTGTTAATGGGACTGAAAGGAAAACTTAAAATCAAAACAATGTTATCTGTGACAATGTGACAGACTTTTGAAAACGTCCTGGTTCTGTGGGATTCTAACGAGCATATTATTCATTTTGCTTAGGGCTACATGACACCTGTTGTCCGATTTTGGGGAGTTAAGCAGAATGAGAACAGAGCCCTGGACATAAATGCAGTGATTGGGTTGTGTGGGCCTCTTTAATTTCACCAACACTGTCATTGTGGGAATATATAGATTCTATAAAAGCTCATATATTTGAAAACACTCTAGGCATTATTTCAGAAGCCTGGTGGTGATTTCTAAAACAAAGTTCTGTTTATTTCTTAGTATAGGTTTTCATGCCTCCAAATGCCATCAACATGTCAAATATTGGGATACCAGATATACAATTTTTATTGAGGGGTTATTTTCTCTCTGTGGAACTCAGAGAATTCTAGCAAAAGTGGAGAGAGCTTTATTAGTTAATAAGAGGATAAATGATTGATACAATAATAAATTCTGGGCTGACAGATCTTAGCACCTGCCCTCAAGAATATTTAATCTTTAGTTCTGTTTGGTCCTCAGCCAAAAATAGCATATTGTTGACAAAGGAAAATTCAACTGGAAAAATATGTGTGGAGATGAAATTTTTCTTTAATCCCACTACCCTAAGAGAAAATTGATCTTAAAATAGGCATATAGTTGTCATGGGTAATTTTGTTAGATATGATAATCATATATATCATCTTCATATTCTGCAAGTTGATTTTTGTATAATTGAGACAATAGTTATCTTTCAGTCTCAGTACTAGTAGGTTACCCTAATTTTAAAAGGCTTTCATAGAATGTTATATATCTGTTTTACAAATAATCAAACACAATATAAGCCTAGCTGAAATACTGGTTTCTATTCCTGAGTCTTGTCCTGGTACCATGTAGGCACTATGCAAGCACTCTGCTTGCCTGTTGCTTCCTACTATTGACAGCTGTGAGATTATGCCTGTGGTCACAGGAGCATTGCAAACAGGCTTCTCATCTTGACTAGGCACCAGCCTCCATGCGAGGTGGGCAGAAGAACAAGATGCTGTGAGGCCAGGATAGAGCACGGGTGGCTTGACTGCTATCCCATAGTTAAGCTTTCATCTTCTCAAATAGAGAGTGGGTAAAGGCTTTTCTTCTCATCAGCACCTGGAGCTCGAGATTTATTTGATGGTGATCAGTTTTACCCAGGGAATCTCAGAAATCAAAGCGTGTACACTGCTTAAAATACTCTTTGATTTATTTATTCAGTGTGTTCATTTTTGTGTGTGGTATGTATGTGTGTGTGGTGGTGTGTGTGTTTTGTGGTGTGTGTTTTGTGGTGTGTGTGTGTATGTGATATGGTGTGTGTGTGGGGAATGTGCAGAGAGGAGTGTCCTGTTTCATCACTTCGTGCCCTATTTCCGTGAAACCAGGTTGCTCACAGGACCTGGAGTTGACTGTGTTTTCACACAGCTGTCTTGCCAGCAAGCCCAAATGATTGCTAATCCCTATGCATTCAGCGCTGGGGTTGCAAGCATGCATAGCTGGCCATGGTTTTTTAGGTAGTTTCAGGTATACCTGAATTCCTGTCCTTGTTAATATACAAGCTCTTTTATCTACTGAGCCATCTCCTTGGCCTCTTTTTCAATATTTTTGGAAGCATCCTTAAAGTTGTTGCCCCTGCACCTGTAATAATCTAATACTTGATTCTTTGCACAATTACTTGATTTTGAGAAAACCTTTTTAATTTGGCAATGGAAGATAACCAGAGTTGGCAATAGAGCAAGGACTTTCAAAATATAATAAAAATTTCAGTCTCACATCTCAGCTTTTATTGTTTATACATATACTGTTGCCAGAGCAGAATGATCTGCAGCTTTTAAGTGGGGCTAGCACTGAACACAAAATCCTCCGTCCTCAGCCTTGCTCTGACAGTATGGGTACAGCACCACTGCCACCTAAGCCTTTTATAGAAAAGGAATGTGGAGCCTCTCTTTGTACCATGTCTATCACTCGTCCTGCTGCTGCTTTAGCAGACTCTGTAGATCTTGCTATTAGAAAGCATGTTTGGCTTTAGTTGGCCTGCCATGCTGGTATTCTTATCTGCAGAGTGGGACTTGGGGCATTGTTCTCAGCCTACAGAACAGCCTCAGTCTTCCATTTTGCTTCAGGATGTTGTATGAGTGTCCAGTAAGGCTTCACTATAGTGTCTTGTAAGTCATGAAGCATGTTATTGGTGCATTCCCTTTGTGCTGGAGTAGAGTTGAGCATACTGTGGACCTGCTGTACAGTGTTATTTAAAGAAGGGTCCTGGTTGTCCACAGCCTCATGTCTGATGTATAAGAAAGGAACACACTGGTGATAACACCATTCTTTCTATGTATGTCACAGTATGATTTAAAAGAAATAATTTTAATCAAGTTTTTTTTTTTTAAAGAAGAATTTGTATTCTGGGGCTCACAGTTTAGAAATGCTAATATTCTTTCATCTTCAGTGTGAGAATGAGGGTTAGCTGTTGATATGTACTACTGCTCCTCTTTTAGCAAGTGTGTTCTTTGCAATTAGCCTCTGTGCTTTATCAATGAGGACTATTTAAATTTAATTCTTGTTGATTATGTGTGTGAGAGAGTGAGTGAGTGAGTGTGTTTATGGGCAGGAGGGGTGCAGAGAGGGAGAGGGGAGGGGGAACATGTGTATGTTCCAGCGCATGTGAGAACCGAGCTCAGGTCAGGCCTGCACAGCAAAGTGCTTTTCCCAGCACTGATCAAGGCTGCTATCCCTGAGAGGTCTCTAACTGTATCACTGTGATATTTACTGAAAGCGGTATGTTTTAGATATCTCATTCTTCCGTAAAATTTTCATTTCTTTATGCATGCTTGATTTTTCTGTGGATCAGAAAGGACTTCCTGAGTGTCATTGCTTTTTAATTTTAGCTATTTCTGTCTATGAAGTTTGACATGGATTATAAAACATCACCAGTATGTCAATCTCTGGGTCTTTTTCTACTGTGTCTTGTGTTTTTCATTCTCTTTAACAGACAGTGTGTATTAAATAAACTGTAAGTAGCTGTGGGCTGTTGCTCCACTCAGACTCCCTGCCCAGGTTTTCCTTCTGCTTTTGCCTACAAGCCTGAGCTCACTCACAATGGGCAGTGTGCCAGTGTTAGCTCTGTCCTGTTTCTCAAACGCAAGACCTGGTCCCTACCTGAAAACCGTGACTTTTCAACTCTTGTCCCTCCGTGGCTCTAAACTCCAGTTTGTGCCCACCCATGTGGAAGATTAGGAGACACTCCACCAGCTTCACACCACCTGGTTCATGGGCTGTTGCTTGCAACCTCCATGATCCCTTACAGAACTGGCGAGTATTCAGAGCAGAGAGCAGTCCCAGAAGGCAACTTAACCCCTGTGCACTTCTCTTCTCTAGGGAAGGTTCAGTTGTGTGCTCTGGTTTCTTCAGGTGGGATTTGTCTAAGGGGGAGGGCCATTCTTCTAGTTCTTGGAAGAAAGATTGATTTACAACAAGTTAGTCAATCATTATTAAACTCTTGTTGGTATTTAAAATTTTTGAAATATTAAAAATAAGTACATCATGCCTTATTATTGAGCCTTATCCTAATTATAATCTATGAGGTATTATGAATACACACACAAACACATATACACACATACATGTCCTTGTGTGCGCATCTGTATGTGTTCAAGAATGACATAATGGGGGCTGTGGAGATGGCTTAGTCAGCAAAGTGCTTCAAGCATGAGAACCTGAGTTTGATTCCCAGAAACCACTTAAAAAGAAAATGCTGGGTGTAGCGATACATACATGCAATCTTAGTGCTGCGATGGGTGGACCCGTCAGCCTCACTGGCCAGCCAGCCTATGCTGCTCGGAGATTTCCAGGTCAGTGAGAAAGCTAGTCTAAATAGAAAGGTGGGCAGCCTGAGGAATGACACCTGTGGCTTCCACTTATGTGCACACATGTGCACCCATAAACACTCACGTATCCTCCCCACACAATCATGGCTAAAACAACATTTAATAAAGCAGTAAGCTGCTGGCTAATTTTTAAAATCCTCCAAGACTGATTTTTAATTATTATATATGTTAGAGGCCATCTTTCTTCATATGGAGTTCTCTTGTCCTACTTTTCTCTTTGGTTGCTATATTCAGAGAGGCTTGGAGAAGCTGTTTATATGTTAGAAACAGGATTACAGCTAGTTTCCACAAACCATGACTTCATCTCTGCAGCATCAGAAAGGTGCGGGGCCTTGGCCTTGAGAAGAGCTAACCTAGATTCAAGACACACTTATCTTACCTGTTTTGGACGTGAAGTTTCACCATCCCATTCTTTCTCCTCAGCAAATCTGAACTTTGAAAAGGAGTCCCCTAGAAATAGGAAAAAAAATACATACATACATACATACATACATACATACATACATACATATCACAGATATCTATACACACATATAACATACACACACATGTATGTATACATATATAGCTCTTTGTCTGTGCTGCAAGTGCTTATTGTTATTGTGCCATCTATGAGATTGGTTTTGGTTATCATAGAAGACTTAAAATAATTTTTATATGTTAATCTTTATGAAGTTTAGTTTATACCCCTTTAGCTTCTGAATAATAAAAAGTTGAGCCTTATTTGTTGTTCTTCTGCCTTTCCCAAATGTCAACATCTTTGATCCATACAAAGTGTGTTTTGAGTATCAGAATTGAGATGTAGGGATATAGTCTTAATTTGCTATAGAGTAGTTTTAACCCTTAAACAACCTGCTGTTTTAACCAGAAAAGACTGATTTTGCACAGATAATCATGTTCTTCTGATGTCTGAATGTCCACACACCTAGATTGGTTCTCTCCTGTTTTAAGAGTAGCTCTCTATTTTGTTCATTTAACTCAGGTAGACAAATTCTTCACCCTTTGAAAAGACATTCTTAGGACAGATGTGGTGGTGCATACCTTTAATTCCAGCACATGGGAGACAGAGGCAGGTGGATCTCTGAGTTTGAAGCCATCTTGATCTGTCTACACAGTAGTTCCTCCTCCTCCTCCTCTTCCTCTTCTTCCTCCTCTTCTTCCTCCTCCTCGTCTTTTGAGACTGAATTTCATGGTGGGTCCCTGGCTGGCCTAGGACTTGCTATGTGCACCAGGTTGGTCTGGAACTCAGAGTCCACTTGCCTCTGTGTCCCAAGTGCTAGGATTAAAGGTATATATCACTTTTATAAGATTGTTTGAAGCACATATTTTTTTAAGAAAAAAAAAAGTAGCTTAAGGATATAGCTTTCTGGTAAAGTACTTGCCTAGTACACACAAAGCATTGGGTTCAGCCCCTTCACTGTCAAAAGAACAGAAAGTTGGTTCTTTCCTACTCCTCTCTGTTTTACATTCCCTGCCCCCCTAACTTTGTAAAACAATTGCATTTGTTCTTTATTTAGTAATGAAGGTATTTTAAGACTTCCACTTATTCTCTGAGAATTCTCCAATCTGGGTAGATTTGTTTTAGCTTATTCTAACTCCTCAGTTTCATTTCTTCTGATAAAAAGTAATGTGAGTAAAACTGATGTTGTATAGGCATTTACATGGTAAGCACGGGAATCACAGTAGAAGCATATACAGATGGACAATAAAACTTCATTTTCAGAATTTTGAAGTATCAAATTGGCTTGCTAACAATGAAAAGTATTGATTTTTTTCCCCTGCCTTTGGTCCTTCTCTTGCATTTGATTTTACATTATGTTAATTTAGTCTGTCTTTCCCTTTTTGACTTCCTTTCCCCCTAACTCCCTTAAGTGAAAGAAAAGAATAAATTCTGTGGTTATATCACTGGGCAGGTAGCACACAGGGAAGAAGCGAGTCTGTGCTGAGTTTAAAATCCAGGTAGGAGATGGAGAGGGAGAGCACTTGGGTCTTCAGGGTGAGGAGATGAGAGAGCATTGAAGTATATAGACAAGATACAAAACAGGCTGGCTCGGGAGATAGAAAGTAAGTGAAGTAGGGCCAAAGTTTACATCGCTGTGAAAGCTAGGGAGAGAATTCTTCATGTGTAAATTCATTGCTATGCAAATTTTCCAGTGTGTGTCTATGCACAAAGCAAGCCTCATGGCAGAGCATAGAGCTTGCTGCCCATGATCATTTTCCATGCTTGCTTATGTTGCCATCATACGTCCCGTCCTTGCTCACTTACCTCAAGAGCTCAGAGAAGTACACTGGTTTGCACAGTGATCTTTGAGTTTGCTTTGTGTTTGCATTTAGACTAGGTGAAGGTTGGAGTGATAATGGCGATTGATAACATATCAACGAGTTGTGATAGATGGTGGGTCATCCAGAGATGCTTCCTTAGCCTCATCCTCCCTTTTCTGTCTTGTTGGCCCCTATATATAAATATAAGCGTCTTTGAATACACTGAGCAGAAGAGATGGAAATAGACTAGATATGGGTAAATGACCATGTTTGCACGCCTGTTTCCTTGATCCTTAACGTGTGGGATGGTGGTTTATTGAGTGAAAACTTAATGAAATAAGTATGGCTGCCAACAGCATATTCCAGTGCCCAAGTGTATGCACTAGATCCAGGACTGTAGATGGCATCACTGTATTTGGGAAGGTTTAGCTACTCAGAATGTCACTTGTGCCCTAAAATGGAAAATTAGACTGTTTTCTGTATAAAATTATATATATACATATATGTGTGTGTGTGTAAATATGTGTGTGTATAGATATCTGTGATATATATGTATGTGTATATATACATGTATATATATATATATATATTTTTTTTCCTATTTCTAGGGGACTCCTTTTCACAGTTCAGGTTTGCTGAGGAGAAAGAATGGGATGGTGAAACTTCATGTCCAAAACAGGTAAGACAAGTGTGTCTTGAATGTAGGTTAGCTCTTCTCAAGGCCAAGGAAGTCATGGTTTGTGGAAACTAGCTGTAATCCATATGCATATTATTCTCAGCTGCTTGCCCTGGAGAGAAAATATACAGGGAACTAGTTGATAAGGTCCTTCAAGGTCGAGTTTATTTGGCATCTGATAATTTCTCGTATATTGAATTACTCACAACTTTAGGAAAAAGTTAATGGTTCTGATTTTAACACAATAGATTACTTTGCTATTTGTTTTTCTTTTTTTTTTTCTTTTTTCCAACTTTTCCCTCACATTCTTTCTTTAACCTTGTACATTTATTACCTTTCAATTAGTGTAGGGTAAATGTACAAAATAAAAATAGGTATAGTGGATTAGGTGCCAAATTCCCACCTCAGGGATCTGTGAGAAAGGATTTCACTGTTTCCCAGTCTAACCTTGAACTCATGGCCCTCCTATGTCTGTCTACAAATGTTGAGATTATAGGCCTGTGCCATTATATACTTAGTTTTCCTCACATTCTTTTATGGTAGGATGCAAGTGCATGCCTCTCTCTTCTCTCTTTCTCAATCCCCTCACTCCCCCCGCCCTGTGTGTGTATGTCTGTCAGAAGTTGATATGAGAACTTTATACATGAATACTATATATCTATATTATTTTTCTATTCCTCCAACTCCTCCTTTACCTTCACCCCCTCTCAAATTATAACCTTTTAATGTTACTGTTTTACTCTCTCTCTCTCTTTCCCTCTCTCCCCCCCCCCCCTTACTGAGTCCATTTTGTGTTGCTTCTATGCGTGTATAGTTAGCTGAGCATATGGGATCAGATAACCTGCTGGGGTATGGAAAAGACTGAGTCTTCCTCTCAGCAGCCATTGATTGCTTGTAGTTCTTTATCTAGGGGGTAGGACTTTTGAGATATCCCCTATCTACGTTTGTATTTCAATTATTGTCATTGACATTATTGTTAAGAATTAATGGATGCAGTTTTTAGTGCTACCTCCATACTTAGTGCAGCTGGCTGGAGAGAGGAAGTTGCTGTTTTCTGATTTGAAGAGAAGCAGAGCTTACCCACTAGCGTCTTTGGGGACACATGGCAACTCCATGTTCCCACCTAATCAGCTCTTCTCTTCTTCTGCCTAGAATGCTGCAGTCTGAGTGTAGGGGACATTTCTGGCCAGATGACATACAAATGCTAGTTCTTCTAGTTTGAAGGTTAGAGTGTTCTCTCAATGTGATGGTGATTACTGTCCTAACTGTGTCTCAGAGAGCGAACTGTGGACTCCTGTTTGGTAGAGAGACATTAAAGCTCATTGATTTGTGATTGGACTCCCAGACAGAAGTAACTTCAATAAATAGCTTTTTACAGGTATTTTTATCATCTCTCTTTTAAAAAACCCCTCTAGAATTCAGCGCTCTACGTGGACAGTGAGTCACTGGTTCGAGCCCTTCAACAGCTGCCTCTTGCAGTCCGGCTTAATGTTGCTTCAGAGTTAATCCAGGTAAATGCAGAATCTGCCTGCTGGCTGGGTTGGGGCAGAGGAAGGACCAGAGGGAGGAATGTAGCCTTCAGGGTATCTCAGCCTGAGCTTTTCTCATCATGAGGCCTTAGATTGAGGTGTCATCTTGTAAAGTTAAAGGAAAACAAACAGTTGTTTGAAGTTATTGTGTTATGTTTTATATATGACACATTTTAATAATCAAATGTAATAGAATTGAATGCAAAAAGACTATAAAGTTTGGCTATTGACCCAGAATATTGAGGTGTTAGGCTCTGAGTTGGCACTAAGGACAAGTGGTAAGCAGGTGAATGTGATTTCTCCTTCCCTGAGCTCAATCTACTGGAAAAAAATTACTATTAATCCACTTAGTGAAGTAGTTATTCAGCTGCCTGGAAGTGATAAATAACGTGGAGAACCGTGTCTCATGAGAGCTCATAGTGAGGAACCTGGTGTTCATGCTGTGGCTAGGACTGGATTTCCTAAGGAAACAATGGGTAAACTGAGTCTGATGTGTAAGAACACTTGAGCTGCAATGAGAGGAGATGATGACCCAGGCAGATCAGCATTAGTGAAAATAATTACAGTAAATACTGTGCTGGTGGACTAGAAAGCAGGCTGTGGGGTTGGTGTGTGTATTCAGGGCTGTGTCTGTGTGTGCTCCTGTGCAAAGACAGAGAAGGGAAACCATCTTAAGGAAGTTGTCATCTGGGTCCAGGTGAGAGACACTAGTACAGACCAGTAATGATGGTGCACATAACAAAGACGAGACTTCTGTAAGAAGTGTTTCTAGGTTATATTAATAGGATGTGGGAGGTCTGATGTTGGCAGTTTGGAAAGAACAGTTGAGGAAGGAGTGTGCTTGGACACACACACACACACACACACACACACACACACAGGCATCCATAATCTGGGTCTGCTCTCAACTATGCTCATGAGTATCACCTGGGAAGTTAAAAATAAGGAAAACAGACAAAACTTGCAGGTTTTCACAGAGATCTGTGAAGTGACTGTAGGATCAGCATAGAGGATCACACCTTGACTTTGCTCTGTTCAACTACAGTGCTAGACATTGGTCTAGTTCATGCTTATAGGGGCCATGCTGAAGTAGACTTCTGAGAGAGGTTTGAGGAGTTACTAGCAATGTGAGTCTTCAAGTAAGAGCAGGGGCCAGTTGCTGCAGCACATACTGAACTTTATTCTGGACCTATGCATTATGGGTCCCTGTCAGCCCTGTGGCCTGCCTACAAAAGAGAGTTTCTCAACCTTATAACCAAGAACTTGTCATAGTCATATGTAAAATCTTTGAAGCATAGCAAAGTTAGGGAAGAATTTACAGATAAGTATGTATAACTATGGAACTGGCATCTATATCAAGTCAGAAGATTTCCAGTTCCTTAGAGGCCATCACACATACATTGAATTCACCTCCTCTCCCAAGACTGCCTTCTATTACTTCTTCTACTCCCTGGCTTCTATTACTGTAGTTTTACCTGGTTTTGAATTTTCTATAAATGTAAACAAGATCTTGGTAAATGATTTTTGCCCCTGAGTGTCCCTGTATCTGAGCACAGTGAACAGGTCTACTTGGCTAATTTCTTCTTACTAACTTTTACAGATAGGTGGTTATTTTTTGTTACAGATTTAAGTACCAATTCAAATAGACTTATGTGGTACAGTTAACCTTCAGGCTAAGGATAGGAAAATGTGGGCTTGGGAGGCACAGCCCAATGATGTTTCCACAAAGTCTCCTTATCTGCCCTGGGTGGATCAGAAGAGTGCTGGAGTCAGACTCCAACAGAAGATGCTTCATGGGCTGTCAGAACTGAGATTCCTACCTACAGGGTTTTATGGCTTAACTTCCTGTGCTTAAGCCAACACAAGGACTCTATTAAACTCTGACATCATGCTTCTTTTTTCAGACCACAGTTCCTTTAGAACTTCCACAGGTGAAACCAAGGAGAAATGATGATGGCAAGGAGCTGGGCATGCAGTTAAGGGGGCCCATCTCCGAGCTCAGATCTGCTGCTGGTGGTTGTCCCAGGTCTCTGGGCAGAGACGGTTTAAGACAAAGCCCTTTAGAGGGTTTGCAGAAAGCATCTTCCCCACCACAATCAGTGGCAGACCATCTGGAAGAAGAACTAGATATGTTGCTGCATTTAGATGCCCCTGTGAAAGAGGAAGACAGTGTCTCTTCAGAGCAGACATCTCAGGACCAGGAACCAGAAAGAGATGGGCAGGTAGTCCAGGAGAAAACAGGTATGGTCTTCATTCCATTTCCTACCCATCTTCTCAAAACATACCCCTCTGTGTCTGACATCGATCCAGCCATGTCCCAGGTGTCTCTTCCCATGGCAAATCACAGCTTCCTCTGAGCTGACCTTTCTGACAGTTTTCTCTTACTCAATATCCCAGGCTTTCAAAGTGGCTACCAGCCTGGTTGCAGTATTAAAGTTAAAGCTGCAAATTGAACTTCTGTAAAAGCCTTTCTGTAGAAGACCTTTTAATCGACTGAACAGGCTAGGAAACTAACTCTTCATACTTCTTGGTATTTGGGTTTGTACTTGGTTTTTGGGTTTGTAAGCAAAAGAATGTCTTATAATTTGTGAATATTTTGTGAGCTGGTAGCCCATCTGATATGATGGGGCCTAAGTTAACTGTCATATCATGTACAGTACTAAAGAGTCATTGTGATGTTTTAGGATTGTCTCACACAGAAAAGGACACTGAGCTATACTGTTGGCCTTTGCGTTAAAACAAACCCCACAAAACTAGTGAGCAGTGAAATTTATCTTTAGAGTAAATAGAAGAGCAAACCTGTATCTTTGCTTATTTTGTTTAGATACTATTGATTGTATCTTAGGGACTGACAATAACGAGAATTTCTTGCTTGTTATTGGAAAATAATTTGTGCTGAACTATATCCTCGAACACACACCAGGGAAGCCTTAACTAACCTCAACATGAGGACTGATGTTAAGTGGCTAATGTTGCTTCTGTTTCCATAGTTCCTGAAAAGTCACCTGTGACCAGAGAGAAAAATGTGGAACCTGAGCAGCCAAGCACATCGAAAAATGTCACTGAGGAAGAGCTGGAAGACTGGCTGGACAGCATGATTTCCTGAAAGGGGATCAAGGGGGAAGAGTGCCTGTGGCAAATGTTGGTTGCCTTCTAAGTGAGGATGGGCTACTTTGCCAGATACCTCGTGCTAACATGTACTGTTATGCTTATAGCAGCCAACACCTACCTGTGTTTGATGGCATCTGAATACATGTATGAGGCTTGTTTAGGGGCTTCATTCTGTTGTTATCTGGCTTAGTCGTCTAATAGATTTCATTATGTACAGGGGATGTCACAGCTACATTTTGAACCTCTTTCCTGTCAATGTTTACAGTGTAACAGGTGGTGTTTAAGGAAATATACTCAATCACAAGGCATGCAGTTGGTCAAAATAAACACCCTCTGGTTTCTGGACTTTCCCTTTCTTCATGAAGGCCATGGGCTACTTGTCTCATGTCCCTGACTTTAGCAGTCAGGTCACACTGTAGAATAACTTGAGAGTGGCACATGACAAGAGGTCAAACCAAGAACTGGCATGTGTTACTTTATTGCAGTGGGCACTTCACTTTATTGGAGGAGATTGACCTAAAACATGGCAGCTCCACTACTTACATGGACCATAAAGCATCACTCAAGTTTGGTATAAGATTGAGATTTTTCTGAAATTTCAGTACAGTGCCTTTCTTCAAATAACAGCAGTTGACAAGCTGTTACTGAAGAAATGATGTGAATAACCTTCAAGTGCGGTTTCATAAAGTAAGACAAGAGCAGCACAGCTGTTTAATGGAGCTGTCCTTCTGGAACACAAACATAAAAAACTTGCATAGCTATATCTAAAGAGATTTGTAAGGCACTTAATCGATATTTCAGTTTCGACAAAGTGTTTGTTTTCTATTTCTTTAGCTGCTTAAAGCTTTTCAAGCTGATTCTGGATACAGTCACTAGCAAGTACCATGGAAAAATTAGATCGCAGTTAACATGAGTTGAACATGATTTTGTGTAGTTCTGCCCATCAGTCCTTGGCAGGGGTCCTCTTGCATGATGTTCAGGTGTTCAAGAGTTCACATTTCTCTGAACCATCTCAATGAAGGACTTGTTTTTAGAACTGAGAGCTCTGTTGGCAGTCAGGTTGAGTCCTTGACACTTTGCCATCCTTTGTGCACAAACGCCAAATCAATTACCAAATACATTTGCTGTTGTCGTTAAAGTGTGAAAGGAGGAGTCTGTGGCATTAGGAGGTGATTGTTCAGAATCGTAGTGTGTCATGAATTCAGATTTAACCAAGCTGATCTTCATATTGCTTTCGAAAGCAGTCTCCAGCTGGGAAGAAGTCCCAACACCTTTCCTGGTACATCTTCCACACATAGGATTCCTGAAACAGTGTAAACAAATGGTACTTTGTATTGATACCACGATAAGCTAAAGCCCAGTTTGCTTCTGCTCTGTGTGATTTCCTTTAGGAGGACTGATGAGAATTGATTCGAGGCCACATGGGCATGTTCTTACTGTGTCCCCAGCCTGCTCGGTTTTGTGAGCTAGAAGTCACATGTCTTCCCATCATGACTGAAGGGAAGGGATAATCCTATCCTGTGTCTCTTCTAACATAGTTGACCCCATGCCAGTTGTAACTGGGGGACTAAAGAATTCGGGTTGGGGGGACATTTGATTCTGCCTGAGGCCTGGTCTAGATCAAGTATTTAAGGTATGAAGTTTTTCTGTCCATTGATGTTTAGATTTCGAATAACTAGGCTTTTCTTCCTGTGTTCTCCACCTTTCTTTTCATAGTTAGTCACAGAATTCTGTGACACAGCTCCTCACTCATCTTCTCTCCACACCTCCACATTCCTGTTGTCGCCCACATGCAAGGCCGCTCTTTCTTATGCTGTCTCTCCCACTGTCTTACTCTGAATCTCATGCTCTTGTTCCAGCCACCCACTCCGTTTGTCGTCGTCTTCTCTACTGTCCTCCCACCTCCAGCTATTGTGCAGAGAAGCAGTAAGCACAGTGGCTTGAAATGTCAGTGTTTGTTGAGCAGGATTACCAGGGGGACTTGGGGAAGAGACTGACATCACCATAGAACTCTCACGTCTTAGATGTACTTTTCCATCACTTTTTTTGTTACTTACTAAGAGATGGATAGCTTCAGATATCCTGTAGTGTACTACTCAGTGTCGAGACTGAGTAAAAGGGAGACTCAACACAGACCTTCTTAGTTCTTAGTGAAAGCAGTTTCTCACCTGACCTGTGTGTTCTGTCTCATCCTTGTTAATCAAATACATCAGAAAGAATCTGAAAAAAGAACAAATGGGAGAAAGGTAGAGAAGCTTTTTAAATGAAAAGAAAAGATAAGTGTGGCATGGAGGGGCTCATGTTTAATCCCAGCACTCAGGAGCAGAGGCAGGCGAACTTCTGGGTTTGAGGCTGGCCTGGTCTACAGAACAAGTTCCAGGACAGCCAGGGATATGGGACAGGGTCGGGGTGGGCGGTGGGAATAGTGCCAGGAGAGTCCAGAAGAGAGCATCAGATGCTCTTAACAGCTGAGCAATCTCTTCAGCGGAAGTACTTCTCATCCAAACTAACATTGGATACTAAGGTAAATTGGAAACAGGGTTTGAAAACCAGGGAAGCATTTCTAAGAATGATAGATGCTTATCTCCGAGCCAATGAGGGGAAAGCTTTTGTAACTCCCAAAGACCCAAGTCCACTTGCAAGCTATCTTACCATAAAACAGCAACAACAACAACAACAAAAACAACCCTCAACTCTTTACCATAAGATTATCAGTAAGCCACGTTTGAATTCACATGTCAAGGATGAGTCAGGAAAAATGTGGACAGTATCTACTTTTAGGTCACTTCTTCCACAAATTTCTATTTGTTTTTCATTGTGAAAAACCAGGAAAGGGCAGTGTGGTTTCATTTGCACTAAATTATCTGTATCAAAGATTTGAGTGTGTGACACAAGGGTGTCCCTGGGGGCTGCACTCTCAGTTCAGATTCTATGACTTCAGAGATGGTTTCTAGAAGAACCAGTCTCATGCCCTTTGGGAAAGGAAAATGTTATACTGGTTTAAAAAAAGAAAGAAAGAAAGAAAGTTGAGAGGATCATGCATGCTGGTAGAGCTGGACTCCCAACCCTTGAGTTCTCACAGGGTAGTGCTGTATCTTTATCTTAGGTCCTGGTACACAGGAACAGTTTCTTCTTTACCTCTACCAAGAATTTATTTCCACTATACTGAAGATATGAGTCAGGAAACCTTGTTGTTGTTCTGACACATTTAACTGGCAGATGACCACATGGAGTGCTGCAGGGTATCATGCAAGGGAATCCTAACCCAGATGACTAACAGCTCCTCTGTCATTCCCCGGTGCTACCTGCCATAGAACTTGTGGGCTCAACTTCTGCACCTTGAATGAGAGCCCTCTTAATGAGAAATGACCATGATTAATGCTCATGATACTAGGGAAAGAATGTTATTTATTAAAAACAAACAAACACCATCCTCCCCAGGGTTCAGCCTATTCTGTCCTAAAGAGAGAGACTTCAGCAAAATGCTGGAAGAGAACAGTCAGAGAGCAGGATATTATTCATCCCATTGATCATACTTTCTGGAATTTGAATAATCAGGTTATATAATTGACATACCCCATAAGTGGCATAACTTGAATGAATGCTTTGCCCTAGGAAAGTGAAGTAGTGTTTGCTTGTTAGTGGCCAGACAGTGCTAACATCAAAACCTTCCCCAGAATATCTCATTTTCCTGAAAGGCCTTTTAGTAAGGTGTTCACAGAGGACAGATAGGGGAAAGGTAGAGGTGCTGAGTCTGTTAGTAGTTGGTGGTAAAAGTGGACATTCTTGAGGATTTAAAGAGAAATTGCTGGAGATGCACGCTATTGAGAGGAATGGCGTGGATCAGTTGACAGTTGTTCCCAATGCAGTGCACAGAGAGAACAACAGTGGCTCCTACAGGCACCTGCAGCTGCTCTGCTGAGCATATCTACATCTTCCCGACAGAAAGGAAGAAACAACAGACTGAACTTTGTGGCAGAGTTTTTGTTTTTTCCCTAAAGATGACACCTTTAATCCAAAATACTTACAGATAATTGGCTAAGTTGTGTTCTTGCAGTGTATGTGTTTCAAAACCATGAGGGGTTGTGTCAAAGTAGTCATTGCCAATGCCACAGATGAAGCATTTAGTCTGTTAAAGAAAAAGGCATTAGTATACATCAGGAAAAATGCTGACAGTCAGTTGAACCGGGACCATGGAAAACTTTCTTGTTTAATGCTTTGAGCTATTAGGTATTTACTCATGGTCCCACTTGCCTAGTTGAAGATAGTGTTCCTTCCCTCCAGTTATAAGACGGAGGCGGCAGGCGTGGGCGGGTTTAGCTCACAAGGCAGTAGTGCCCAGGGCTGGTAGATTGGTGGAGAGGACGTAAGAGACAGGCATGGGAAGCAAACCTTTTAGTAGTTTTGCTTAGGGATAACCCTAATTA